GCCACGGTTGCTAAGTGAATCATCGCAATTGTTAAGCAAATCGTGTGGTTGTTTAAGCGAACCCGACTTTTCCCATTGACTTTGCAAATGGCAATCAGGTGATGCTGCAAAACTCTGTAAATACATGCCAGCTGCCTAGTGGCCAAATTTGGACGTGATCGTGAGGAGGCTGCGATGGTCGTATGCGTGAGGACCTGTCGCTAAACAAACAGCTGTAAGTCGAGGACTACCTGTCGTTATATCCCGATTGCTTTCCACATTAGATTTTCATCTGCTTCGAGAGCATTTCCATCCAGACATTTGCCATTGTGAGAAAAGGTGTTGCGTTGTGTCTCTTCTAAACATGCCATTAGTATATTAATTGAGGGTTTTCTATCATGGTCTTTTCCATGTCTTTGCAGTAAAGCCAAAGCAACAATTTTAACAACTGCTAGAATTATTTTTCTGAAAAAAAGAAGAGAGCACGCTATAATACCTTTCAAAACAGGGGTTTATAGGTAGTCCTCAATTTACAACCAAAATTGAGCCCAAAATTTCTGTTGCTAAGCGAAACAGTTCTTCCGTGAATTTTGCCTCCCTTTATGACCTTTCTTCCCACAGTTGTTAAGGGAATCAGTGCTGTTGTTAAGATAGTCACATGGTTGTTAAGTGAACCTAGCTTTCCCCATTGCCTTTGCTTGTCGGAAGGTGGCAAAAGGGGATCACATGATCCTGGGATAATGAAACCGTCATAAATATGAACCATTTGCCAAGTGTCTGAATTTTGATCACGTGATCCTGGGGATGCTGCAACAGTCATAAGGGTGAAAAACGGTCATATGTCACTTTTTTTAGTGCCGTTCTAACTTCAAACAATCACTAAATGGACTGTTGTAAGTCAAGGACTATCTGTATGCAAATAATTTCTCTGTTTAAATCATGTTCGATAGGATATGTCCAAATTCTCCTGTTTTGGCCAGAAAGGCACTTAAAAACTGGGACATTTAGCAGGGGGAGAAAAAAATCAACTTATTGGTCATGACCATCTTACTGAAACCCTGCTCCTTTTTATCTTGCGTCACAGTAATTGCAAAATAAATAAAAATGCTTTGTTTGCCCTATCAGGGATACCATCTTGACTTTTTTTGACCTCTTCTGACAATGCTGGGTTTTAGGAAACAACGTAAAACTTATAACAAAATCTCAACAGTCCTGACATCATTTTAGATGAAAGCAAAACAGGTTGAATAAAATAGTCCAAATTTTTGTAAGGGTTGAAACTGGGCACTGATAATCTCTATTTTATTGTTTTATTATGCTTGATAGTCTATGTTTCTGAAACAGAAATTAAGCAAAGTCAAACACCAGGATTTAATGGATTAGTATGCTGATTAGGATGTGATTATTATTTTTTTAAATACTACATTTGAAATAACCTATTTCAAATTAACATTCCACTCATTGTTAAATATATTAGCCCTCAACGTACGACCACAATTGAGATCAGAACATCCTTCGCCAAGTGAGGCAGTTGTTACGTGAATCACACCCAATTTTATTATCTTTATTTTTGCTGCAATTATGAAGTGAATATCCATGGTTGTTAAGTGAATCTGGCTTCCCCATTGACTTTGCTTCTCGTAAGGTTGCAAATGGGGATCATGTGACGACCCCGGGACACTGCAATCATCATAAATACATACCAGTTGCCAAAGTTTGATCACATAACTGTAAGGATGCTGTGAAGGATGTTAAGAGCGAGGGCCGGTTGTAAGTCACTTTCTTAAGTGACCTTGTAACGTAGAATGGTCACAAAATGAATGGTTGTAAACCTATGTGAGATGGGTCTTCCATGTACTTGCAGTCTGCCAAATCACAGATTTGTGAGCAAAATTAACATTGTTAGAAAAATGCAATGTTTGAAAGGAATCAAACGTTGTTTAACTATCAGATCCATAAATAAGCTTGATTTCCTAAATTTTCTGGGCAAGATCTATTTAATTTGTACATACAGATAGTCCTCAACTTAGAACAGTTTATTTAGTGACCACTCAAAGTTACAACAGTACTGAAAAAAGTGACTTATGACCATTTTTCACACTTACGACCTTTGCAACATTTCTAAAGCCCTGTGATCAAAATTCAGATCCTTGGCAACTGTCTCATATTTATGACGGCCGCAATGTCCTGGGGTCATGTGATCCTCTTTTGTGACCTTCTGACAAGCAAAGTCAATGGGGAAGCCAGATTCACTTAACAACTATGGCAAGCAAGATCGTAAAATAGGACAAAACTCACTTAACGAATGTCTCACTTAGCAACATGAAATTATGGGCTCAACTGTGATTGTACTGTAAATCGAAGATTACCTGTATTTTAATCTTGTATTTTATATTTTAAAATTTATGTCATATAGCATGCCTTATTTTAATTGTGAGGCTTCTGACACAAATAAACAAAATTAAGCAAACTTTGTCATTTAACAAATCAGCTCCAGAATTGCAGGAAATCTGAGCATTTGCATTCCTTCTCTATGAATTTCTTAAGTGCATTAAAATCAACCAGTTTGTAAATCTTGCTTTAATAAAGCTTTGTTTCACATGTCCCAGGAGGAATAAAATTCACTTGATCATGCTGTAATTTTTAAATCTCATTTGCTTTCTAAAAGAAATAAAAAGTTTTATGTGGCATTGTAACAGAGAACCTAGGGATTTACTCAGTCCGATTTATAACAAGAAGAAAAAATTAGGATTGTGGTAGCCATTTTTAAGAATTTTTAGAACCCCTTTCAAAAAAAAGAAATGATGCTTCTGATATTTTAACCTCATTGAGCATTGCAAAGCAGGTTAAAAGCTATGGAGTTTGATTGCTCACTAGAATTTGATTGACATTGCTTTAGCAATTAATATAGTAGGTTAGCAAAATTCAAATAATATAGGCCAATGAGACGCAATAAAACAAAATTCAATTCTTCAATAGGCAGAGAAGATGGTATCCAACCGACTTTATTATCTTTTTTGTTCTTTTCCCCTTCAAAAGCAAAGTGCCATTTGCATGATACAGGCGTTCAAATTACACCAATATTTATTGATTTCTTATTTGAAAAAGCCGCAGGTCACTTTTAAAAGAAATTTCAAATTAATTCCATCACAGGGTAGAAAGACAAGTGTCTTTCTAAAACACGGATAAGAAATTTACAATAAACCATATTTTAAATTAAAATTAAATTATAATTTGTATAATATATAAATTAAATTAAATTAAAATTTCCAGTTTAGTCACTACATGTGAAAAATCATGTTTTCATGGGTCAGACTTGCCATATAAAATAACAGAATAACAGAGTTGGAATGGACCTTGGAGGTTTTCTAGTCCAAACTCAAGCAGGAAACCCTATAAGATTTCAGACAAATGGTTGCCCAGTTCAAGCATAAACCATAGAAATAGACTCAGTTAAAAAGATTAATTTCCTAAACACAATGACCAAGAATTATTTTATCTGAAATAGTCAGGTATGACTCGCGATCACCAGACTAGAAAGCAGAAGATGATGAGTTCTAGTTCCTCCTTAGGCATGAAAGCCTGCCGAGTGGTTTTGGATCAAGTCTTGAAAATGTCAAAACGATGCCATGTTGTGGTGCCATTGTATCACAACCTCTGCTGTACATTCTTAAGTCATGTCAAGTACATGACAATATCACAATTCAGGTGTCCTTCACCCTTTGCAAACACCCAAATTCACAATATCAAGAATGCTTTATCCTTCACAAATAATTCAATTCATATTTATCCTAACACTCCCCCGCAAAGACCCCAGAATTAGAAACACATAGAACATTCTACTATATGCGCTGCATGATTAGACTGTATGTAGTAGGTCTTACAAGTTGCATTTCACAATCTCTTTTAAAAAGTCATTGAAATACTCTCAATTCGGTAGGAGACCTGGTGGATGTTATCATCTGTATCTCTTGCTATCTATCTTCACATGGATGATGTTCCCCAGGGAGGGAGCCACCATGGAGAAGACCCTTTTCCTTGGTTCTACCATATGGACTTCCCACAAAGAGAGGACCCATAACACGTTCAGCCTCCTTGTTCTGGTGGATTGGGTGGATATAACTGGGAGAAGATGGTCCTTCAAATAGCAGGGAGGAAGTCACCATGGAGAAGGCCTTTCTTCTGGGTCCCACCAGATGGATCTCCTTAAGAGAGGAAACCCATAACACCTTCTGCTCTCCGCTCTGGTGGTTCGGGTGGATGTAACTGGGAAAAGATGGTCCTTCAAGTAACAGGGAGGGAGCCACCACAGAGAAGTCCCTTCTTCTCAGTCCGGCTGAGTGACTTCGTCCCTCTCTCTCAACTCAACCCATCTCACAGGGTTGTTGTTGAGGGGAAAATAGGAGGAGGAAAGTATGTTGGATACGTTCACTGCCTTGAGTTATTTGTAAAAATAATAAAGGCGGGGTATAAACAAGAAATACTGTATATACAAATTCCATTTCGTCCAACTTAAGATCGGAACAGAAGAGGAACCTTAGTTATTGCTAACCTCTGGAAGACTAGGAGAGCAAATGTGTGGGATCATAAAATAAACCTTGAATAATTACAAGACATTCTGCATCTGGTTCACACCACTGTTGTGGGTACTGATGAAGAATACTGTGGGTATTCTTTTCAACCTGTATAATCTTACTAGGTGATTTTTCTGTGGAGGCACCACACTGAACTGACCCACAATCAGCCTAAACAGAACTTAGAATTTCAGGGTCGGAAGGGACCTTGCAGATTTTTGAGTCCAATCCACTGCTCGAGCAGGAAGCCAAAGACCTGGGCCTCTTCTGCCACAAAACAACAACAACGCCAACTAGGCAAACACAAACACTAAGCCAGTCCCAAGAACAAACAGGAATGCCGCATCTTCTGAGAGGTAAGAGAATGCACCCATTCAGTCCTTAATTAGCCACCCTTAGCCATCTTGAATTAACCACATTGTGAGAGAGCAGATCAAAAGGCCCTACCTTCTATTGTGATCGCTTGCTCAGGTCTCTTCTCCGGAGCCAATGCTGTTGTGGTTTGACGATAAAGGTGGGCGCTTCCCTTCGCGGTCCCCAACCTGTTTATCAACTGAAGACAAGTTGACAACGCTAGTAAGAACGTATGTGTGGATTTCGGATGAAGAAGAAAAACCAACTCCAGGTGGTTCTTCACAAATCTATACAGGGGGTTCTTGACTTACGACCACAGTCAAGCCCAACATTTCTGTTGTTAACGTTTGTTAAGTGAGTTTTGCCCCATTTTATGACCTTTCTTGCCACAGTTGTTAAGTGAATCTGGCTCCTCCATCGACTTTGCTTATCAGAAGGTTGCCAAAGGTGGTCACGTGACCCTGGGACACTGCAACCGTCATAAATATGAGTCAGTTGCCAAGCATCTGAATTTTGATCACATGTCTGTGAGGATGCTGCAATGGTCATAAGGGTGAAAAGCGGTTGTAAGTCACTTTTTTCAGTGCCCTTGTACGTTTGAACAGTTACTAAATGAACTGTTGTAAGTTGAGGACTTCCTGTACAAGGAATCGCTTTGTGGAGGACGTAGAATCATGGCTCTGGAAGTGACCTCAGAGGTCTTCTAGTCCAATCCCCTGTTCAAAGCAGGTGAACTGAGCCATGGTGGCACAGTGGTTAGAATGCAGTACTGCAGGCTACTTCTGCTGACTGCTGGCAACCTGCAATTTGGCATTTCAAGTCTCACCAGCTCAAGGTTGACGCAGCCTTCCACCAGGTCGGTAAAATGAAGACCCAGATTGTTAGGGGCAATATGCTTAGAGAGGGCTGTGAAAGCACTGTAAAGTGGTATAAGAGTCTAAGTGCTATTGTATCCTGGTCAAATGGTTGTCCAATCTATTTTTGAAAACCTTCAGTGATGAAGCACCCACAATTCCAAGAGGCAAGCTATTCCATTAGTTAATTATTGATTAATTTCTCCTTAACTCTAGGTTGGATCTCACTTTAACTAGCTTTCACTAGTTACAGGTAGTCCTCGACTTACAACAGTTTGTTTATTGATTGTTCAAAGTTCTAATGGATATTGAAAAATATCACTCAGCTTGGTGGTTTACTTGCAGATGTTTCATAACCCAACTAAGTAACATCATCACTGTTAGAAGGGAGGGCTCTCATTTTATACACTACGGCTTGCCCTGCGGGTGTTGATGGGAATGTTCTTGGTGATTCCTTAATTAGTTCAGGGGCGGATTCCAAAACCCGTTGCTACCGGTTTGCTCGTGGGCGCATGCACACGTTCATGCGCGTGCAACAGTTCTGCGCAGAAACAAGCAGGTGGGCGAAGCCTCCCACCGCCGCCACTACCGGTTCGCAAACCAGTAGCAACCCACCACTGAATTAGTTGATTTTTTGTTAGCTTGTGTAGAAAGTCAGCACCCCCTCCCTAGAAGAATGAAATAATTTGTGGGATATTAAACGAAGCAGAATATTATATTCCCCCAAAGGGAGAAATGGAGAAACATGCTCTTAAGGGAGACAGTATCCAGCCTCAGTCTCCAAGCAGAAACCGAGGAGGCCAGTTTTTAGAAATGCAGATTGGATAATCCATTCAGAAAAACTGGGGCAATTTATTCAAAAACACCTTTCGTAATTAAAATGGGATTAAGAAAGGGCAGGACATGATCTTGATTCCATTTATTAAGAAAAGTGGAGACAATACTGGTCCATTAAGAAAGGCAGGCCAGAGGCAACAGGCAAAATGCTATAAAAATTGTATAAAAGCCCATGCACAAGAAAAACCAGTTGTTCAGCTGACCCAGAACTGCACGCTGTCTTTGTGTGGTTCTGTTCATCAATAAACAGAATCTTTCTTTCCAATCAGCCTCCAAATGGGTTTTCCTTCCAACACTTGTTTGTGTAAGTTGGACTGAGACAACTCAGGATGTCTTAACGGAACAAACGGAACGTGCCCAGCAGATGCATGGCAGGTGTTTGGCCCAGATGTTTTATGGAAAAGTTCCTGTCTCATAACAATTTAAGAAGAAGAAGAAGAAAGAGAGAAACTCACCTCACACTCATAGAAACCTTCATCATCCTCACAGGCATTTTTGATAACCAGGACAATCACGCCACTTCGTGGCTCACTGAAGCTCTGGTGTTTGTTCGGGTCAGTGAGGAGGTTCCCATCTTTATACCACCTGGAATGAGAAAGGGGAGGAGGGGGAAGAAGAGGAGAGGAGAGAAGAGGAAGGGAGGGGAGAGGAGGGGAGGGAGGTGGGGAGGAAGGAAGGAAGGAAAAAGGAAAGAAAGAGAGAGAAAGGTAGGAAGGAAGGAAGGAAGGAAGGAAGGAAGGAAGGAAGGAAGGAAGGAAGGAAGGAAGGAAGGAAGGAAGGAATAATGGAGGGGAAGAGAGGGAAAGGAAGGGAATACAGATTTATAGAGGAAGGCCTTTATACCGAGGTATACCGGGGGCCAGTTTGGCCAAAGTCACCCAACTGGCTTTCATGCCTAAAACAGACTAGAACTCACCATTTCCCAGTGATTGTCCCAATACAGAGAATACAGATTTTTACTCTTTCATGTCTTATCTATTCAGAGAGTAGGACACAACAAGACATGAAAAAGAAAAAACTGGAAGCAATAATAATTATTATATCTACATGGTTCTCCTCCTCTCTTGAAAACAGCTTTCAGAACGTACAGGTACATTCTGAAGTCCTTGATTTACAACGGTTCCTTTAGCAACCCTTTAAAGTTACAACGGCACTGAAAAAGGTAACTTATGACTAAATCCTCACCCTTATGAACATTGTAAAAGTTCTCATGGTCACGTGATCAAAATCCAGGTGTTTGGCAACCGGCATGCTGATTATGATGGTTGCAGCGCTTGGAGATCACATGATCGCCATTTGTGACCTTCCAACTTCCGACAAGCAAGTCAATGGAGGAAGTCAGATTTGCTTAACGACAGTGTGATTCGCTTAGCAACCACAGTGATTCCTTTAACAACCTTGACAAAAAAGGTCGTAAAATCAGGCACAACAACCCCCTGGCCTAGCCACAAAAATTCAAGTCCCAATTGTGGTTGTAAAGTAGAAGACTCCCTGTAAAATAAGCCTTTGTAGGCTAGAAAGTCCTATCCAAAAACGCTGTGGAGCATGGGCTTGATTATTCCCTTACCTGATTTGGGGGTATGGTGCCCCTTCGATAGTGCAAGTAAACTGTGCATCTTCGCCATTGGTGTAATAGGCATGTTTCATCTTGTTCACAAACCGAGGAGGCACTGGAAATTAAAATATACCATGAGTAAAGTGTAAGCTTTGTAAAAAGAGAGAGGAGTAAGTCAAATACTCTTCTAAACCCACATTGCATCCAGAAACATGGTGCATCCATGTTTCTGACATTTGTTCGTTTGGTTGTTTATATCCCGCCTTTATTGTTTTTACAAATAACTCAAGGAACAGAACATATCCAATACACCTTCCTCCTCCTGTTTTCTCCACAACAGCCTTGTGAGGTGGGTTGGATCTGAGAGAGAAAGCGAACAGACTAAAGTCACCCAGCCAGCTTTTCTGCCTGAGATGGGACTAGAATTCCCAGGTTGCTGGTGACTGGCCCATAGTCACCCAGCTGGCTTTCATGGCCAAGGTGGACTAGAACTCCTACTCTAGCCTGGAACCTTCATCACTAGACCAAACTGGCCCTCACCTTCTCCACCAACCTTAGAGAGCACACAATTCTCCCTTTCTCTTGGTCCCATTTTAAAAGTGGGTTTATTGTCTTTCCTTCCCTTCCTCTGCTTTGAGGGGACTCTCATGGTGTGTGTTTTGTTGTGTTATGTAACAATCACCTCTTCCTTCCTTTTTCCATTACACCCCAAAAGTTCTACTAGCTGACTGGATGCCTTGTGAGAGCAGGATTAATGTGTAGAACGATGAGAAATCTTAGTAATTTCTCTCTGGGCCTTCAAAATTGCCTGTGTGTGTTTGTGGATCTGTGCGTGTCTTTGTGTAATGCTGGTACCTTGGACGAGAATTTTCCCAAGGGTGCTGGCACTGCCAGCTGGACTAGACGCATAGCACAGATATTGCCCTGAATCCACTCCGGTCAGATTATCAAGGATCAATGTGCAGGATCCATCGGGATCTTCTATGACGATGTGGTGAGGATCCACTTCGACTGGTTTCCCATCTGCAAAGCAAGAGGTAAAAAGATACCCTTTGGTGAACATGTGGCTGGACTCAGACTGTAAAATGAATTTCCTTTATTTATTTTGACAACAAGTAGTCCTTGATTTATGACCTGAATGCACCTCGTTAAGGAATGTGGTCGTTAAGAGAGTCGGGACCAATTTTACAACCTTTATTTCTTTGATCAATTGATTTCTATATTTCTTTTGCCACGAGGTTCAGCGAATCCCTGCCATTGTTAAGTGAATCACACGGCCGTTAAGCGAAGCAGGCTTCAATGGCGACTGTGTGACCCAGAGGTGGTACTGACTTACCTTCGCTACCGGTTCACAAATGTGAGCGCGCACTGGTATTCAGTGCTGAATACCAGCACTGGTGTGACCTCAGGACATTTCAGCCATTAAAAATGCAAGTTGGTTATCAAGTTTCCAAATTTTGACAATTTAATGCTGTGACAGTTGTAAACGTGATGACATGGCATAAATCACAAATATATATATATTTGTTCTGAAGTCATTCTTCCATTTTATTCCCTCTGAGTCGTTCTTAGCTTTAATTAATATCCTTAATATCCTTCAATTAACAGCTGACCAACGAGATAAGTTCATGTTAACATTAGCATACATGACAGTATTATATCTGGGAAACAAAGATGAGAAAAGGGAGATGAAGAATATACAGGCAGTCCTCGACTTACAACAATTTACTTAGCGACCAAAGTTACAATGGGGCCTGCAAAAAAAGGATTTATGACTGTTTTCACACTTATGACCATTGCAGTACCCCCATGGTCACTTGACCAAAATTCAGATGTTTGGCAACTGGTTCATATTTATATTGGTCGCTGTGTCCCACAAAGGGGGAGGGGTGTCACGCGATCCCCTTTTGCGACCTTCTGACAAGCAAAGTCAATATGGACACCAGATTCACTTAACAACCATGTTACTAAATTGACAACAGTAGTGTTGTCAACTTAACAATGGTGGCAAGAACGGTGGTAAAATGGAGCAAAACTCACAACAAATGTTTCATTTAGCAAGAGAAATTTTGGGCTCGACTGTGGTCATAAGTCGAGGACTGCCTGTACATTAGACCAGTGGTCCCCAACCTTTTTATCGCCGCGGCCCGCTGAGCGCGCGCAGGGGTGGGGGCACGGCCCAGGAGCTTTTGCGCACGGCCCAGGAGCCTTTGCGCTGCAGCGTTCATGTCCCCCGGCCGCTGCGCGGCCCGGTGCCAGGTACTCCACGGCCCGGCACCAGTCCGCGGACCGGGGGTTGGGGACCACTGCATTAGACCATCAACAGGCACCATTGAGAAGTGATAAGCAAAAACAAAATTAAAGGAAAAAATTATCTATCATGACTGCATAGCTGGTATCACTCAATAAGGCTTTAAGGGAAGTCCTCAACTTACAACCATTCATTTAGTGACCTTTCAAAGTTACCACAGCACTGAAAAAAGTCACTTATGACCATTTTTCACACTTACAACCGTTGCAGCATCCCCATGGTCACAGGATCAAAATTCAAATGCTTGGCAACTGACTCATATTTATGATGGTTTCAGTGTCCTGGGGTCATGTGATCCCCTTTTGTGACCTTCTGACAAGCAAATAAGGAAAATTTGCTTAACAACCATGTTACTAGCTTAACAGCTGCGATGATTTGCTTAACATCTGTGGCAAGAGAGGTCGTAAAATGCAGCAAAACTCACTTAACAAATGTCTTGCTTAGCCACAGAAATTTTGGACTCAGTTGTGGTCATAAGTTGAGGACTACCAGTAGTGTCCCTGCTCAAAAATCTACCGCTTTTTTCTGACCTTAATTATGGGGAAACTGAGGCTGGTTGTACCTTTATACCAGGTGATGCCTGGTTTAGGGGTTCCTGTGACTCGGCATGCCAGCTTGACAGTTTCGCCCAGTTCTGCTGTACAGTCCGCCAGTTCCTCTTCAAAATCAGGTGCATCTGAAACAGGAAAAAAAATCAGATTTGATATTCGCTAGGAGACAATAGACTTCTAGTCATTCCCCCACCACACACACACTCTTAAGCTGTCTTCAGAGAGCTTAAGCTGCACTGCATGCAAAAGCAGCAAAAATTAAACTTCAGGAACTGAAGTCTTGAGTTCTACTCACCCCATACAGGGAGACTGATCCGTTGCTGAATACTACAGATCTCTTTCACCCATGAGTTTTTGATGATAACGGTGCGCGCCTGGAAGAGATACTTCCGGACCGAATCTTCCCGTTCGTGCCAAATCTCAAACGCCCGGTCATCTCCTTCGATCAGGTCATTCACATCGATGTGAGATAGCTGAACAACCAGAAACCAAGGTTATAAGTCAGCCAGGATCAGGTGCACATTTGCTATACATCTTACGTCTGTATAGAGGTAGTCCTCGAATTATAACCATTTGTTTAGTGACTGTCTAAAGTTACAACAGCAGTGAAAAAAGTGACCTAGGACCATTTTTCACATCTATGATCATTGCAGCATCCCTAGTTACACGATCAAAATTTAGTTGTTTGGCAACTGGCATGGATTCCTGACGGTTGCAGTGTCTCCTGGTCACGTCATCCCCTTTGGTGACCTTCTGACACGCAAAATCAATGTGGATGCCAGATTCATTTAACAACTGTGTGATTTACTTAACAACAACAGGGATTCACTTAACAACTGTGGCAAGAAAGGTCGTAAAATGGGGCAAAACTCACTTAACAATTATCTTGATTAGCAATGGAAATTTGGGACTCAGTTGTGGTCGTAAATTGAGGACTATCTGTATGGTAGTCAGTCAGTGAGTCTGTCTGTCTGTTTGTCTGTCTATCTATCATCTGTCTCTGCCTGCCTGCCTGCCTGCCTGCCTGCCTGCCTGCCTGCCTATCTATCTATCTATCTATCTATCTATCTATCTATCTATCTATCTACCGCCTTTATTATTTTTACAAATATCTCAAGGCAGAAAACATACCTAATACTTCCACCTCCTATTTTCCCCACCACAACAACCCTTTGAGATGGGCTGAGCTGAGAGAGAGAGACTGACCTAAAGTCACCCTGCCAACTTTTATCCGTAAATTGGTAGAACTCACTCCCTTCTGGTGATTCGCCCAAAGTCACCCACCCACTTTCATGCCTAAGGCAGGATTAGATGTCACAACCTCCCAGTTTCTAGCCTGATGCCTTAACCACCAGATCCAACTGGCTGCACTGCTGTGAGATGTGAACCTCTAAAGCTATATCAACAGATAATACAGTATTGTTCTGATTGCTTAACCTGGTTTTAGTTAGATACCAAAAAGTAGCCAGAGAAAGACAACTATTAAGGAAGGACATATTCAACCTTCATCATGTTCTTGAACAGATAGCTGTAAGTATCCATCTTCGTGTCCCGTTTTGGTTTGCACACCAGCAGGTAACCCTTGAAGAGGAAGGCATGGCGCTTATGTCCCTTCCAAGCCATGCGCGCCCCCGGAGCACCTTCCCACACAATGAACTGTCCCTGAAAAAAAAAAAAGCAAAACATGTGGCAGGGAGTTTCACTGGCTTTATAAGTCACAGCATCAGAAAGATCTACTGTAATCTAGCAAGGGTTTTGACCTTTTGCTTCTGGATCTGCCCTTTGGAGCAACAGACTTTTTATCTCCAGTCATGATTAGAGTTGGAGTTATTTGTCTGAAACCTCTAACAAACTATCACCTGAAAAGAAAGTAAGGATTATTAAGCCTGATTTCCTCTTTGCAAAGGAGAAATAACTCACAGAGGTGAACATATGCAACACACCTTCTCCTCCTATTTTCCCTGTAACAATAATCCTGTGAGATGGGTTGGGCTGAGAGAGAGGGATTGGCCCAAAGTTACCAAGCCAACTTTCATACCTAAGGTAGGACTATAACTCACCATCTTTTTTTTTTTAATTTGATTTATATGCCACCCTTCTTTGAAGACTCAGGGCAGCTTACAATGCGTTAAGCAATAGCCTTCATACTTTTGTATATTTTATACAAAGTCAGCTTATTGCCCCCCCAATCTGGGTCCTCATTTTACCTACCTTAGAAAGGATGGAAGGCTGAGTCAACGTTGAGCCTGGTGAGATTTGAACTTACAGTAATTGCAGGCAGCTGATGTTAATAACATTGCTTTAGTCTGCTGCACTACAGGGGCTCTCCTGGTTATTGGCCCAAAGTCACCCAACTGGATTTCATGCCAGAGTTAGGACTAGAACTCATTGTCACCTGGTGACTGGCCCAAAGATGGCCCAGCCATCTTTCATGCTTAAGGTGGGACTAGGACTCACCACCTCCTGGTGATTGGGAAAAGTCACCCATCAAGTTTTCATGCCTAGGGCGGGACTAGAATTCACCAACTCCTGATGATTGGCCCAAGCTCACCAATTCCTGATGATAGGCCCAAAGTTGTACCTAAAGTGGGACTAGAACTCCACGGTCTCTTTGTTTCTAGACTGGTGCCTTAACCACTAGACCAAACTAGCTTTTTAATTGCACAGTCATGTGACTTTGGGCAGCTGATTGCAATTTTATAAAAGAACATGTCCACTGAAAAGCACCAGGATCAAATTGAAAAACATATTTTGGGGTTCAGCAGAAAGAGCCAGAGACTTAGCAGGCAGGGGCTTCCGGTTGCGTCACGCTGAAATGGAGGACTAGGAATTGTATAGCTGCTTATCCTAGTTCTCCCTTTTCTGTGTCTGGTGGTTGTTCCTGCGCCATCGTGAGCCGTGGAGAGGCTCGCGAAGAAGGGGAGGCATCGGGGCATGTGAGGAGGTGGCTCTCCCTCACGCCGGCAGATTTCTTCTCAGGGTACCAGTGCAGAAAGAGGGTGGCATGGGATCGCCTCGAAATCGTGACTATACCAATTGGAGAGGGAAGCCCGCCAGCATGGTGTAAGAATTCTACTTTACTAAGTTAGCTCCGAGCTGACTGAACCTCCTGCCTAAGAAACATAAGATTTGCCATTTACTGGGGGAGCGGCTGAAATGGAGAAACGGCTGTCTTGTAAACTTCTTGCTGCTAGCTGTTATTCCCCCCTCAGAAGCGGTTATTGATCTCCCTTTGAACTTTGATATTATCGAAACTTCATCTTCTCCCTTTTTTTTATTTGATATTATTTAAAAATTATTATTTTTTTATTATATTATTATACTATATTATTATATTAATATTATTATAATATTATTAATTATAATATTATTATAAAATATTATTTATTTATCCATTGTCTGTTGGATGAGGAATAATTGATTGATCTTATTTATTTTTTATTTATTTATTTGTTTGTTTCCATTTCTATACCGCCCTTCTCCAAATAGGACTCAGGGCAGTGAACAGCCAAAGTAAAAAACAAAACATACAAAATTTAAAAACAGTTTAAAATAATTAAATATTTTGGCCATAAATTAAAACAACCCAATTTAAAATCAATTTAAAATTTAACTCAAGCCAGCCCAGCTAGTTGAAATAAATAGGTTTTCAGGGCCCGACGAAAAATCCGGAGGTCTGTTATTGTATTGATCTTGTTGAAGACATAGTGAGATTTTCTCTGTTACTTCTCTCTTTGTCACATTATCAGAAGAGGTGAGCTTTTTGCTTACATCCTGACTTGACACTTTTTTCTTTTTTCCCCATTGCTGAAGACGGTGACTGCCCTTGGTTGGTCTTGTACTGCCACCTAGTGGTGGATTTGGATATTACAACTAAAAGGAAAGGAAAGGAAAAGAGGGGGGGGAGATATATATATACACTGCCTCATAGTAAACATTGAAAATTGACTAATTTGGATATATTAAGAGCTGATGGATTAACTTATTTGATTTAAAAGATTTGATTGACATATTTATTCAATAAAGAGTAGAGGAACAGTGGTTGTTTTCAGTTATGTCTACATCTTCAACTATTACCACAACAAATAAGAAACTCTCTGCCTACCTCTGCAACCCCAAGTTCGACATATTTAGTTTCTAGAAGAACATCGGAAGATATGTCGGCGACAGGGAAGATGCCCTCTATGCAGGCTCTTCAAAATATGTTACAAGCCATCCAGGAATCAATGGCTAAAAACCAGGAGTCGACATTTAAGAATTTTGAGGACTTGGGAGCAGATGTGAAAGTGGAAATGAGAGGGGTTAAGGAAGAAATTAAATAGATGCGAACTGAACTGGGAGATATACGACAGACATTAATACAACAAGAGGAAAAAATGAAGGAGATAGAGAAGAAGACGGAGAAATGCGAAGGATGGATGGACAGTTGGGAGAAGAGACAAATAATGATAAATAGGGACTTAGAGGAAGAAATAATTTTTCTGGAAATGGAGAGATCTTCTTTTTTTCTTAGAATACAGAATGTGACAGAAGAGAAAGGGGAAAAACTGGATAACATTGTAGGAGAAATAGTTGCAGAAACTTTGGAGGCAGATAGATTCATGATCCAACGGGATATTGATGAGGCCTTTAGAGTATTCACTAGCTACGCAAAAAGGAACAATCTCCCTCGGGAAATTCACATTCGTTTTAACAAGAAAGCTTTGTGCGAAGAATTTTATAAATGAACAAGGGATCAAACTATTACATATAAAGGCCAACCGATAATAGTTTTGAAATAAATCCCACATCAGGTAAGAGAACAGAGATGCAGATACCAATTTTTGACGACTTTCCTGAGGAAAAATGCAATTTCGTATCGTTGGTTATTACCTGAAGGCTTATTGATGACATGGAGGGATAAGAAAGTGAGGATTCGGAGTCTTCAAGAAGCAAGAGAATTCATGGAACAACAATTTAATTTGTCAGAATTAGATGTTGAAGGAGAAGGGGAAAATAGAAGTCTGGAGGAATCGCAAGAGGAAGAAGAGGTAGAGGAGAGGAGAGAAGGAAAGGCGGGAAAGAAGGGTGGGGGAACACGAAAAGTTGAGGAATTAACAGTGCCTCAGAGGGAGACAAGAGAAACAGCTAAGAAGGCTATAACAGCGGGAAAGTAAAAACTTAGGTGAGAAAAGAAAATGGGGGAATTAGTGCGTTTGATATCTGTAAATATTAACGGTTTAAATGCTCCTAATAAGCGTAGTAAGATTTTGAATAAATTAAGAAAGGCTAAGTATGATATTGTCTGCATGCAGGAGACCCATATAAAAAAAGATCAAAACCATTTGTTAGAATGCCGGGCGTTGGGTAAAACTTATACTTCATTAGCAGGTCAAAAAAAAAGAGGGATAGTGGTATTGTCAGCGTTCCAAATTAAGCTCTCTTCCAGCGCTGACATGAACAAGATGAAGCAAAGACCAGAAGCGTTGATTTATTGCTGAGATGAACTTTTACCTAGTTTTCTGCATGCAACAGATAGGGTTTCCTGGGGGACGAGGGTGGGGGCCACATTCCTGTGAAAAGAACGTGCCGGGACGTAGAGATGGATCTGCATGATGGCCAATGGGACATTGGGCTGGAGAGCGGAAGAGGAGGGGGTTGGAAGGAGGAGCCAGTTTGGCTACAACTTGAATCAGAAATGTCGGTTTTTTTTCTGTTCTTAAATAAAAATGATTCATTAGAGATCTTGCACTTGAAAATGAAACTTATTTAAGATAGCACCGAAACCTGACAGATAGCCAAACTCCCTCAAAGCCAGGCTGGCTGAGTTTAAATCATCCCGTTCCCTCCCAGACGTATGGTCGGATTGGAGGTTATCCCCCGACACTATGGCTGAAGCGAAGGTCTCGGAGGAAAGCCTGCTTCAAGCAGCAAGTGGAGGAGAAGCGGTCGTGACTCCAGCCAGTTTGGAAACTACGAAGGCTCAACTCTCCCCGCCTTCCTTCTCGGAAAAACTTCAAACAGAGAAGCCTGAATCAGATAAGTACCCGGGGACTGTGCCAAAAGCTTCAGAGGCGGAATTTCCCTTTCCTAACGTGAGAGACAAGGGAAAACCCCTAAGTGAATTGGGCAGAGCCTCCTGGCTATGGGAGTGGGAACAAGCCAGAAAACAAAGTAAGCGCCAAGAAATTCTAAGGAAGCCACTCGAAAACCCCATAGATGAGTTGAAAGAGAAATTTGACCGTGCCACCCTTCAGGGGGAGGAACCATCCTGCAGACCCAAAGAAAAGAGAGAACCAGTCTGGGCTGTTGACCCGAGAGGACGTAGGCCAAGGCGCAGCCCTTCCCCCCTTCACAGCAGGAGGAGAAGGAGCCCAACGATGCATCCATGGGTCCCCCCCCTCCCAGAAAGCAGCAAAGCCTAGATGAGGCAGCACCTCCATACCCCAGGATGAGAGGCGAGGCAGAGGACTATCAACACCGAGACCGGCCCTACACAGCTCAGCACAGAGAGGAGAGGGCAGACAGGGAGGAGCCACCCCAATTCAGAGGGAAGTTCGACGGTGACCCAGACAACCTCGCCCAATTCCTCGATTCAGCTGAGATATACATAGAGCGTTTTGGACACCTTTACCCTTTCCCCAGAGCCCTAGTGAATGCCATTTCGGAAGGGCTGGAGGGAG